TCAGTGGCCTCTCAACATTGGGAGGGTCAAATCCCACAGTTGGCAGCTGAATGAGATAGAAGGCCAGAGCCATAGCTATCTGTGTTGTACTGGCCACAAACATGCTGATTGCTGCAGCATTAAGAATACGGTGTGTGGCTAATTGAACTTTGTTGGTCCTTTGAAAATGTCAGCAAGTTTAGATTACACTGGTGTCACCTACCACAGCCTACAGATCACAATCATGACCATTGCACTGTATATGCCTGACTATATGAATTGTGTTATTCAATACAAGTGGTTGATTTCTCACCATGTAGTGCAAATTGAACTGCAATTTCGAGAAGATGCGCCGTCAGAGCAAATATATCTGAGTCTGCAAGTGGACCAGGCTGCATGTCCTCAGACATAGTAGTGACAGGTTTTGCAACAAATTGTAAAGGTATGGGTTAATGTTTTTGAGGAGCAGATATAGAGGTCTTTATACACTGAGGATCCCGGACCAGACGCCCGTCAAACCAGGGACCAATCTCACACTTTCAAGTGTCACAGAAAATCAGGCCGCAATGTAGATGCATTGTCAGATCTTTCAATGGTATTTGGAATTTTGGATGTCTGGACAGATTTATGCTGCGGTTGTGAGGAAGATGTATTTGTTGCAGGACTAAATGTTGATATCTGCCAGGAGTTGTGATTTTGGCACAGTTGAACAGATATGTTATTAAGATCATAACACTAGACTCCAGCAAATCAAGATATATTCATGATTATATCAAGTAACTTTTATTTGTCACAGATTGCTGTACATGTATCAATTTTGAACCCAAGCCAATTCTTGCAATGACTTTGAATCAAGTCCTAAGTTGTTGCTACAACTCTCCTCTTAACAACTGCGGTCTCCATCAATCAAGATGGCTGTGTTTGACATGCTACATGTAATGCTAAGATTGATGGAAGGGTGGTGCCAAATCATCGTCATCGTCATAAATTATGATCAGCCATGTCACTGTCTGTGTCAGTTCATCAATTCTCAATTTGCAAGTCCGTTTTTTCTAATCTTTTCCTCCTTGTTTCTCTTCTCAATTTTCCCCACAACTCAAGTGAAAACTCTCTCTCTCCTTCAGAGTCCTTGTATGGACTGAATGTGTGAGTTCCAAGTGCTAAACTAAGCTGCCTCTGACTGACTGAAGCTTCTGAGCTACACTGTGACATGTCCTGATTTTGATCGAAAGCTAGAGTCATCCATGGAGTTCTCTGACATCTTTCCCATGATTCTGAAGTTGCTTCTGTGTTTCTGGGGCCAGTGGTAAGATTTTGGTTCCCCAGAAGTCTGCTGGCTGAGGTGGGTACTTATACTTGGAGATAATAACAGGTACATGTTTTCCTCCGAGTTGGGACCCTTTCAAACTGATGAGACTTGCACTGTTTGTTGAATACTTCTGATTTATAGTGTGTTGAGACTGTTGATGCCCATGTTGGTTGACATTCAAATTCTCTCTTGCTGTCCTACCAAATTCTGAGGAATGATTGTCTGATCCATTTGACCTTCAGCTCTGCTCTGACACTGTAGTGATGATGAATTTTGTTGATGTAGTGCTCTGCAAACAGGTGACTCTGGCATGCTCTGGGGGTGGCTATGTCTTTGATAGGTCTGGCATAATTGATGCTGGTAAGGCTTCAATCCAGTATTGTCAACTTTGCATTTCCTAGACTGATCAAATGTCACCATAATGATCGGCGTGTCCAAGTCTGATCTCATTGATAGCGGCAAGATGTGAACTTGAGAATTTTCTGGTACTCTCTCCAACAATGTCAAAGACCTGCCATGTACTGCATTTCAAACTGAATTACCATTGTTCATTGATTCAGTCATGTGTTGAGCCTTCATTCCATGCAAGTGATCGCTTGGATTCTGTAGTATTGGGTTCTGATGATCCTTTGTGACCTTGTTTGCCTCTCACTCACGTCTCAAAGCTTTCCAGCATACCTTCTTTGATATCCTGTCTTTCAGATATCTTCCAACAGCTCAGATCACAAACTATAGCCAGATGAAATGAATCCTACAGATTTGACTGTGTGATTGCTGAATTGAGCTTCACATCTGACCATGTCATATGAGTGACACTCTGTCACTGGATGCTGAACTGTTCCAGATTCATGTGATGCTGTCAACGGAGGTGATCTCTGCAGTTGAAACAACTGTCATAGCTTGTAGAGATGATATTTGATCCTCGGTCTCCTGCATAGTCTGCCTTTCAAATCACTCTCACAGGAGCGGTGGAAACAAAAACAGACGCTGCATAGAGCTAACTAGGGCTGCGCACACCGTCGCCATCTATAGATGGTTAGTACGACGGGACCCGTACCCTGTCCCATCGAATTTTCGACGGTACGGGTACACCCGTTTTCACCCGTCGAAAGACCGCCGTGACAACCGTCTGAACGGTACTACTTGTCCAGGTATGGTTGATCCATTTCTTGCATTCTCAGTGATCCTACAAGTCAGAGATTGACCAAGAGAGGTTGAATTTGCAGATTTGTCACGTCCAATCACCGAAGAAGTGCGTTGATGGCCGGCGATGACTAGATGGCTGAGGCTGTATCTCAACATGCGGATCATCAGTTTCAAGTATGTAGCATTCAGCCATAATAATATAAGATCACTGCATATGATTTGGGCATTGACCAGTTGAGAATTCACCAGGAAATGTAAGAACAGATTGTATAGCATCAGTAAGTACTAGGATGATGAAAAACTTTTGAACTTTTGGCTTTTTCGGGGACTCAGAATACTCAGCTTTTGGGAAAGAGGTACATACCTCTTTCCACTTCCTTCTTTCGGCGCTTTTTTGCGCTTTTTGGCCTTTTCTTCGCCTTTTGTGCTTGAGCAGGCGCAAAAAGCTTTACGTCAAGTTACTGATGTAGACTTGAAAGAAGCACATCACTGTTCACCAGGCACAGGATACCATGAGCATTGTTCGTGGCTTTCTCTGGTTTGAATGACAAGTGATCTGTAATAGAATGACCGAGTGGTCTGTAGTGGAAATCATTGCACTTACCATGATGGATGACAAGACATTCTGAGTGATACCTTCATACCATTCTTTCGCAAGCAACTCATGAGAGGCGCTAAACAGTGGGGCATTTGACGGGGGAACACCGTCCACGAATAATAGCGTCCATGAAGAAGTAGTAGTGTCCGGCCGCTGCGCAACATATAGCATGACCTAAAGTCACAGTGAGAGAGAGATGTGGCATGAAATGGTATGCAACCGAGCTGTTTTACTGAGTTTGAACCGATGGTGGTGGACAAGTGATACAAGTGACTTCCAACGGATATGCAGCAGAAACCGGGCCCGGGGACCACTCGAGAAGAACCAACGAGGAATGTATTTACCGTGGTGATTAGCTCAATCATTACCTTTCAAATGGCGGCGCTGTTACGCTTGCTAGAGAATATTGATGAACCAGTGGGATAGAGGCTCTGAGGCCGTCAAGCGGCAGATACGAGTCCCCAGTGTTTTGAATGGACTCAGCTACTTTTTGGGAACTGCAAGAGAGCATCCAAAGCCACACGCTGGATGCTGGAAAGGACTTGGAATCAACTGCGCAGTTAATTTACTGGATTGCTGTGCAAGGGTGGGGCTTCAAACCGGCCGTTTTTGCAGGCACAGGAATACAAAATACATCTGTACATCAAGATAGTGTTGCTGTGGCTCAAGCCACCTATTCTCAGAAACGGGCCCTGAGGCCCGACAGAAAAGTCTTAAATTCCTCATAATATTTGAGGAGCTAGATATAACTATAAGCAGGGGAGGTCCTCAGCCAGAGTTATGTGCATTTCTCTGTGGTACGGCCTGTATGCGATCAGCTTTGTTTTGAGCCGGTTTTGAGCCGATTTAGAAGCCGATCAAATTCCAGCGGAACGACCGGGCCGAGCACTTTGCAGCGGCAGAGGAGCCCTCGGCTTTTAGTGTCCTCTACCTACTCAAATATTCTAGTAAATTGAGGGAATTTATCTAGAGCATGACGGCCAATTTTTGAAAATAGGCGGCTTGAGCTGCAGCGACACTACATCAACCACATCGCAATTACTGTAATCCAGGGCCAGCGAAGCAGAAGCAACGTGGCAATAACGTGGGATAATTGTTGTATGATTTATCACGGATGCTGTTTAGACATCAGGTCGCCGGCCGTATTAACGAGCTCATGTGACCGTGGGACTCGTAATGCACTTTGGCCGGCAGGATTGATGAACCTGTGGAAATCGAGAGCTATTTGAGTAATGGAGTTGTGGCCGAGGGCTCAGCTTGCTTCAATCTATATTCATATCCTTGTATCCTTGTAAGCGATGATGATGTAGCGGTAGCACGTCGGACGTCATGGCCCTGGTTCAATTCCAAGTTGTCGCCTGAATCGACTCAGAGAAAAAATGCTTTTTTATTCTGTCAGTTTGTTCGATGACATGCCCATTCCAAATTCAGAACCTGGGAGATGCAGAAACATTATAGGTACTCAGGCACATTATGAGGAGAGGCACATAGGAAGAAATGGGAAAAAGGAAGAATCACAGTCAATGCTGCAGTAGGTCATGCACCTTGCGCTGTCATCATCGACTTTGGAAACTAGACTTGATTACATTTAGACTCGGATTGCTTTGTATTAATGCCAAGAAAGGACAAGCGATACACATCAGAAGGTATTGATTCAGATTCCAGGCCATTTTCACCTACTAGTAGCTGAACAAAGTGTCGTGACCAATGATGACATCCGCTTTGGGACCTTTGGAGGACTTGAGAGATGGATGATACCTTGGGCTCCTCAAGACATAGGGACTCACATTTCTACTTAGTTTCTTTGCTTGCTACCGACGAACACAGCGGTCGGCCTCGAATTTGGTTAGCAGTTTTCTCTGACTCTCGTCAGTAATTCTGATCGTGCTAGGCCGCCTGGAAACTTCAATCTTTTGATCGGGATATATTCTCATGCAGGTATTTTGAATCCATGATGGTGTGAAGTGAGAAGTGATGATGCTGTGGTAGCATGTTTGACCTCGAGTTTACGGATGGCCCGGGTTCGATTCCAGGTCGTCACCTGCGTGCAAAAAGTGTTTTTTATTCTGTCAGTTCGCTCAACAATATGACCATCCTCAATTGTTTCATCTTCAATTGTTCATATCATATCTCCAAGTACAGAACATGAGAGAAGAGGGTCAGGCACATCAAGAGACCGAGGCTATCATGGATCTTCAACCGGGATATATTCATATCTTTGTTCCCCTATTGTAAGCGATGAGGGTGTAGCGGTAGCATGTCCACCTAAACATCTGTCTTCACAGATAGCCCTGGTTTGATTCCAGGTTGTCACCTATATTATATCCTGCCTTGATGTCTTTTTTTATTTTGTCAATGCGCTCGAATATTGTTGACACGCCTAAAATCATTATTCGCAGAACCTCTTACAACCATCCATATATATCTGCGAAGCCACACGAGAACATAAGGAACATCATCAGGTTTCAAAAAGGTATATAAGAGGAAGCTCGAGCCACAGTACATAATTGTGAGGCATCTTTTATCAGCGACGATGATGTACTAATGGTAGCATGTTCGGCCATCGAGTTTACGGATGGCTCTGGTTCGATTGTTGGATACTGACATTTTTATTCTATCAGTTCGCTCATCTTCCATTCTTCATATCTCTGAGAGCATAAGGAACATTATGAGCTTATATTTTACTCGTGGTCACACTTAGTAACCGTGATTTACTCTTGGTCCAATAACTCCACAGCAAGTGGGTATTTTCCCAAGCGGTAAGTTGTGAAAAGCTTGCATTTTGAGGTATCAAGAATCTGGTACCATTTGAATACAGGTGGGCCTTTTGATTGCGGATGTGTACACTGAAGCATGTATTTCCGGAAAAATGCAAAACTTATAACTTGGAGTACAGGTGTCACAGAGCAAATATGATGCAGGGAACAGAAGGAGGCCGCTCTTTGGAGTTGTTTTGCACCTTATTTCAAGTCAATCTAACCATTTGTGAGTGAGAAATTGAGATGCAAAACTGCCATTTTGGCAGGGAAATGATGAAATCACGGTTACTAAGTGTGACCACGAGTATACAAGTCTGTGGTAGTTTAGTAGGATCCTTGTCATTTGAATGCAAGAAGGGTTCCCTGACAATTGGAGCACTTTGACCTATTTATCCAACAGAAGGGCAGCGGTGGTGAAGTGGTCACCATCGCCCCAAGGTGAAGCTCTCAACATTATGTCAGCAATGACATTTATGCTGCAGAGCTCGTGGGTTCAACTCCCGCTGCCCCCACCCAGGAGAAAACATTCTTGACACTCCTGGCTTTCAAACCACAGCCGATGTCGGCCATCATTCCCTAGCATGACGTGCACTGGCAGCATTCACCCGGTCGTCACACCATCACTCACGCCAAGCGGAAACTATCTGGCATCATGCCGGATCACCCCAGTTTGGAGATACGGCAGTCCGTGCCGAGTAATAAAGCGGAAGACTCCTGGGAACCAAGAGAGATTGCAGACTGATTATAATTAGTTGCTACATTTGGGATGTACTACTAGACTCCGACATAGGCCCTAACGGGCCTGCAGTGAGTATAATGGAATCATCATCATCATTATCCAACAGAATTGTCCTGTGTTTTTGGACTATTTCCGGCGTCTCCAGAGTACAGGAAATGAAGCTCATGTGCTTATATCGGGTGCTCTAGAGATAGAACTTCCCTTGTTTGCAATGACGTTGTTGTTTTGGTGGCCCTATGTCAAAGGGAGGTCATACAGTGACGGCATAAAATGATGCACACCCCCAAATCAGGAAGGTGTATTCCCATGGTTCCCAGACACCTTCATCGCTGCCATACTTGATGTTCAAGGTTGAATAAAATTGTAGAAAAATATGCAGGATTATTAGAATATTTTAAAACCAATCTGAGACACTTTTGGAGCAAGATAGCCCCAATGCTGCTCAGAATGTGGAAAAGTTGACAAATCCAGCCAACCTTGCCTTACTCCACCATGACACATCGCAAAAAGCCCAATGGCCTTCCTCGAGTCAACATAACTCCTACCAAACGCAAATCCCTCCTCTTTTACCATGACAGAGAAGGCAGATCCTTCAATTGGATAGCCCACAATGCTTCAGAATTTCAGCATACCTCCGCAGACCACACCTCTATCTCTTGTGCATATCAGCGCACCAAGCAGCTTGGCTGCTATGGCAGACCGGGCCCTGGTCCAGGCTGTCCCCATCACTATACAGCCGAGGAACTCGATGCAGCGGACCTGACTTGTCAGCGGTTCCCTGGACGACCACAGCGAGCTCTGTGCAAGGCCTTGGCAGACCGTCAACGTCCTGGCTACGTGCAACAAAAAAAGGTTGACCTTGATCCTTGGAATTTCGTTGAACAGACCGCTTTTGCAAGAACTTGGGAGGACTGGGCAGATCCGGACGTCTGGGGGCGGGAACGAGTTGTCTTCTCCGACGAATCCAAGTTCAACATTGGAGGTTCAGATGGCCTTCGCTGGTGTTGCCGACCACGTGGTTGTGGAGTACTCGATGAGCAGAATGTCTCGAGGACGGAGCATTGAGGATTGGGGTCAAAAAGTGTGATGGTTTGGGGCTGTATTTTGAGGGAAGGAGTTGGGAGACTGCATAGAATTGAGGGAAGAATCAATCAGTTTGGGTATATGGAGATTTTAGAGGTGTGTTTCTTATTCTTTTCACTATTTCATCCATCTCTGACAGCCTACAGGAGTCTCTGCTGCCATCCATTGAAGGTTTGGGTATTCCAACATGCCCTAGATTCTCCAGCAGGACAACGACCGAAAGCACACCGCTAACGACACCAAACGATGGTTCTCAGAACACGGCATCTATGTTCTCAAATGGCCCTTGAAATCCCCAGACATTAATGTCATTGAGAATGCATGGGCAGAGATGGAGCACCGCATTCTCAAATTGGAGAATGTTCTGCAGACAGAGGATGGCCTTTGGGAGGCACTGGAACACATCTGGTACAGCCCAGACTTCAAGAAGTATGTTCTCCATCTTCATTCTTCTATGCCTCGTCGTATCCAGTGTTTGCTTGACACTCACAGGCGTTGGACAAAATATTGAAGCTCAGGACACTGTATATATTCAGTTTTTGACATTCTATTTCGCTGTCTTGATCATATTCTTGCTCTATGGCTATGTATACTGTCTCATTAGTTTCTCTGTATTTTTTGGAATCTTTGTTCGAGCTGAAAATGTGTATTTTCATGTCAATGAAGGTGTCTGGGAACCATGGGAATACACCTTCCCAAGTTGGGGGTGTGCATCATTTTATGCCCTCACTGTACTATAGAGGAAGTCTTGTCAGCAACAGATCTCTCAAGAAGATCCTTGCATACAGAAATGCTATTGTAAAATGTCCATTGTCCAACAGGCAAGAACTGGCTGTCAAAACTGGTGCCTTGGCTGTTGAAATTCGCACCAGAGCCGTCGGATGATGCTGCTTGTTTATCAAAAATCAAGGCGAGCGGAAGACTGGTGATGTCTGTGGGGGCGGTAAGTGGGTTACCTAATTACCAACATCATGTGACTTATTTTTTTGTTTTGGAGTTTGATTCCCACGGACTTCCGTCTCGTCTCGACCTTTGTTCAGTGGATCATTGCAGGCCCGAAAATGATGAATATTCCCGTTGACATTGTATAGCACTAAGAAAGATCATATTTTGCCCATCCCCATGATACCTGCTTAATATAATCTCAGCAGCAACAGGCTTTTCCAGATTTTACCACTGCTCTGCCATTCACATTCCGGGGATCTTGGACAGATAAAGAGCTTACTCTAGAGTGGGTAGACATTCTCTGAACACCAATTTTATTGCAGGAGGTACATGTTAGCCTGAAGGATTGGCATGGCACTCAGGTTTCACAGTGGAATGCATGCCAAATGCCACAGTGAAACCAGAGCCAGTGTTCTCAATGTTCTCTTTGCTTCCATCACACACATTTTACTCTGTACATGTAATGCTGGACACAATGCCTCGGACATTGTAGATAGGGTAACAGTGAAAAGTTAGCCGCAAGCGCCGAAAAATTTGAGTGAATTGTATACTGCAATATACCTCTAATACTTCAGGTATATGGCAACAATATTTCCCACATTTTGTACCCATCCAATCAGATGAACCTTTATCTGTGGCATTAAAACAACCGAATTTCTGTTCATTGGTGCTTGCAATGTGTATCATGTCCTTCTAGCTGCTATAATTTATGGGTAGATTACTTGCCCCTCTCAGTGAGTCCCTGGACATCTGGCTTGAATGCATCTTGAGAAACTTGATTCTTGATACACTGCGCCACCAAAATGTGGCAAAATTTGATCGGACTTTGCTGAGGTCATCTGTCGGCTTGCAGCTCCGAAATTCAAACCACAAATTCTCGTCTTTCGTCAGTCTTTCATGGTATGTCCCGACAGCCTCCACTTAACCACAACTTGATTATCTTGATAGTACACGAACATAATTGGTAAGCCGACTTGTTGTTCTATATTTTCAGAGAATCATGGCGTCAGTAATTGCACCATGGATTAAAAGAGTCATTGGTAGAAGGATCATTCTCAGCTTCGATGACGGTGACATGGCGGAGCGACAAAGGGGCTTCTCAAATACCTGGCGAGTACTTAACTGCATCTCTTGATCTCTCAGTTACTTGTTCAGGTGACTGGTCCATCTTGGAGCGGTCCGCCGAAGGAGCAGGTGATAGTAAAGGAAGAGCGCTTTGGTCCAAGTCAAGCGCCATCATATTTCTATTCCCACGGACCACGATGTTTGGCGAGTGATATCCGTGCGGAAGTCGCCTTCTACGGAATCTACCTTGAGCTCGACGGTTGCGAATATAAAAGGAAATTGCATCACTGTAGATCTATCCGAAGTTTCTCCGAGCTTATCTTGATGGATTGAAACTCAGTTGAAGCTCCGTCATATCGTGTCTTTTGTAATCATACACCTACTAGTCTCTTGCTTGGCTTGCTTTAGGATCGGGTATTCTGGAATATTGCTATTATATAGAGATGCTTTG